TATGATGATCATGCTATGATCGTGTCGAATTCTATGAGGTAAGCGCTCAATCGAAGAGCACCGCTCCTATGGTGGCCACCATTAAGAGCGTGGCCTTTATGGTTGCTCCAAGCACTTGCTGGCCATGCGAGAACGAGCTGAGATGGACAAGATAACCAGTAATAGTTTGAGATGCTCAGTATCTTACGTGCTACACCCTCCGCGAAGTCCACTGCCCACGGCATCTACCGGAGGAGAGGTAGGCGCCGGGGAGGCGCTAGTTTCAGTGGTCGTAGTGATCTTGGGAGGAACAAGGGGATCATTACCCTCTTCATCCTCAAGCTGTTTGGAAATGATATCGCTCATCTTTGACCACCAGTCGCTCTGGTTTGTCTCGCTAAGGGTGCGGACAGGCAGGCCAGGGGTGGCGGGAGAGAAATTACTCTCTGAGGTCAATGTCGTGCCGAGGACGGCGATGAAGCAAGCAATAACCTTCATGATCGTCATTGATAGGATTGATGTGATAACGCTGAAGGATGAAAGTGTTGCGGTTACCCTGGCTACGACTTGTAGCCTACAAGTACTTGCTATTAGCAATTTGCTACATGATGTCACTCCGTAGCCGGGAGCGGTCGCGAGCCCCGGTCGCGAGAAAATTGTATTTCTCGCGCGCCACTTTTCGAGCCTCATCATTTCCAGGACCGCGAAATCGATCATGTCGGGCTGGCATTGGAAAGCTGTCGCTAGTTTATGGGATCACAGTGTACGATTGTCGAAGTAGTTATTAAGACACCAATGGTGTCACACCATTAACAATGATGCTCATGATGACCTTCATTGCCACGGGAATCCCACCCCGTATCACTTCTTCTCTTGTTGCTATGGTCAATGTCGTTGGGTTGAGATGGAATAATAATCTTCGCGGAGTATGAGGTCCGTTCATCATATACGTGTCTATCGGTTCATTATTTTATAGTCAAGTGGCAGCCTTCGCCCTGACATCACTCGCATCCAATCCTGAACAGGCACGGCCGAATGATTCGATGAGTGATGGTGGAGAGAGAACTATTGGAATACACCGCCCCGTTATAATTTGTAACGAGAGTGCACGGAGTGGCAGCGACTTCGATCCAGCGTCACATAGTGGAGATATTGAGAGGGCTGTACTCGAATGCTCTGCCAGAAGTAGTAGCACTGTCGCCGATTCATACCCCAGTCCTTCTTACAGGTGAATCACTCGAAAGGCCTGGCCAAATTGTCCCGTTAGTAACTAGTAGTGATCAAGAAATTGACAGTAGATGCATGTCGGGCTCCTCGATAGCGACAATCAGTAGTAGTACTGCTCGCAACTGTCTCGGTGTTTATACTTTAACGATGTACCCTAGCAATGGAGGAGAGAAGAAGTTGCTTGTGAAGGTAGTCTGCAGTTTGAGAGCGAGATACATCGCTGTTTTAGGTTGTTCGGTCACCGGACTATGAAGTAGAGACGATTACAGCTACAACGGAGGTGCTTCCTAATTTACTCAACGATCCTCGCTGCTCGGTGCCCTTCTGCATCATTGATGTTGTATACTATGAAGACGACGTGGAGGACTGTGACGGAGGAGATGGCGCACGCGAGCAGCCAGTGGTGGTATACCACATCCACGTCTCGAGGTATTACATTCGGGCTGAGATTTAGTCAGGCAACGTTATTCACATGACATTTAGGGTGTCTCTTGCGGGGATACACATTAAGTGATGAGTAATTCGTCGAAGCAATAACGTATCGGGATCATGATGATATTAGTTCGCATCTTTAAGAGATGTATGAAGTTGAGATTCTCACTAGGGCTGGTCGGTCTTGGACAACCTCTCGCTTCTATAATAGAATCTATTACATTGATGTTCTCCCCCACAGGTTCGAATCTCAATGCACGGTTCCCCTATCGGATCTTCTCATGAAGTGGTGGTTCAGCAGCTCCACTGTCAGCGACATTGTACGATTATGTCAAGCGTTCGGCAGCTTCCTGGCCGCCTTTCACCGTGATTATCCTCAACTCAATCACGGAGATATGAATCCTACGAACATTCTCGTTGGAACGAACACAACGGTAGTAGAAACCGGCACTTCTCGGTGAGTATGTGCTCACCTAGAACGGAATGTGCCGTTATGATCCTTTCCTTTCTACCTAGGTATTGTCTGAAGGATCAATGGATCCGCCCGCCGAGTATAAGTTTGTACTTGTGGACTGTGGTGGGATGGACATCGACCCGAGCTCGGGAGGAAGTGTGGCAGATATGGAAACGTTCCGGCGTGCTATAGAGGAAATGGGCATCCTGTATGGTGGACAGTTTGTTGCTCTTACGTGGAGATCTGTTTTGGACGGGTATCACTTGTGATGAAGATTCTCCCACTGTTGCATGGATGCTAGTATAATGGTGATGACTAGGTCACTCTGTTTGATCATATTCGTGTTGAGTAACAGTTCTTGTACAGCTAAGCTGTAACAGCTTCGACAACAATTTCGTGGGGGAATGGGACTCGGTGACTCACCGACGGTGAGTCGCCCTCGACACAGGTTCGAAGTATGTGCTTCACTGGCCCCTCCATTTTTTTGTTTCGAAGATCTATGATGGTTCAGGTCAGCTTGGCGACCAAAGATATTCGATAGTCAGCTTACTACTAGTGAATCACCATTGGTGATTCACAGCGGACCGCAAGTGTGTCGCTACTAGCGTGGTAGCCCACTGATGCGTTTCTAGGGCGCTTAAGAGTCATTTGCCTGGTGATCTCGATGATGTTCGTTTACTGAATATACCGTGCGTACATTGTGAGTGCTCGAATGATGAGTGGACAACGATACGATCATCGTATCGTATTACGATGATCGGGTGCAATGAGTATCGGGAATCTCGATTCGAAATAGTCAGCGAGAGTGAATGAACCCATGGTGATTGTTCAACTCGACAGGCGTGACATCCACCGTTGAATTGTTTTTAATCTCGTCCCCGTAACGGGTTGATGCGGTCGAGCGTTTGTGAATGATATTCTCTCAGGGGATCGCTACATGTTTGCCTTGAGAACTTCAGAACTCAAAACGTGAGAGTTGAAAGAGTATATACACCATCAAGCGAATATCATGTAACGGTACAAAGTGATTTTGATTGAATCATCATCGCATCCATGATGCTACTTAACGATTATAATATAACATACATATGATGATATTCAGTATAACGGTTTTACTATGACGGTCGTCGTATGGCCTAACCATGGTGCTACATCGCCAGCACCAAGACTCTCAGGCTCAGAGTTTCTTGGTTTCGCCCTGCCAGCAGATGATATTGTGGGGATGATCCCCGAAATATGAATGATAGCGATGTATCTCTGATCCCCTGGGGATCAGAAATGGCAGAGAGGGACATCGTTAATGATCGTCCAAGCTCTGATTGTATCCCAGGGATACGAGGGCCTCGTCTTTCCTCTGACCTGGTTGCTGGTCGGGCCCGTTGTAAATGTGGAGCTTCCGGTCGAGAATAGGAGAGGGTCTCTTCCGACCGCACCAATCACATGTTCTTCGAGCATGCTGAGCATGACATGCACTACATAATAGACCACCGGAAAGTCTCATTGTTGGAGGCCCTGACTTCGACCCCGAAGCTAGGGATGGCAGAAGTGACAAGAGAAAGGATTGTTGGACAGAAAGTTGCAGTGCCTCCCATGTTGGCCATGATGGCAACAGAGTGATCCAAAACGATGGAAATGATCGTCATAATGTGTAATGCGGTAACTCTCGAAGTGAAGCGAAATTTTATCTTGCAGATAATTAATCTGAGGTTATCTGAGATAACCCGACAAAAAAACAAGATCGATCGTTCGACAAAAGACCCTGCTGGACTGCCACCCGAGGAAACCCTGTAAACAAGGATCAGATGGTTATGCTTGGTCCGGGTGCGATCGTATCCTTCGTTGCTTCCTCGAAGCCGGCTAGCAGTCTGGTCGCCTTGAAAGCCAAAAGGTGGTGCTCACCTCGATAGTTGTAGTGGAGGTGCCGTTCGGATAGAGAGTCTTATCCTTCCCGACAGCATCTTCGACTGCCAGCTGTTCGCCGATCATACCCTCCATCACCGGCCACCAGAAACTCTGGTTCTTGGGAAGGCCCTGCCAGGAGCGGTGAGGATAGAAGTGGACGGAGTAGAGGTGCCTCCCAAGACAGCCGCGATAGCAGCGAGATATACCAGCACTAAGGTGGCTATTTTGGTTATTGAGATCATATCGCCGATATGGCAACTCTGAGGATGAAGTGGAAGTCTTCCACGGAGGCTACTCGTTGCGATCCAGGACTGATCAAATGTGAATGGGTTATTGGCGAGTGGTATCGGCAGCCGGATCTTTAACGCAACAGAAATACCGCTCAAGCTGGATTCCGGTTTCGTTGTCCGACTGCCGTAGCAGAGCCGTGGCGGGAACTAGCTTCATAGGAGCGTCAGCAACACGCCAAGATTAATACTATTGGTATGCCGGGCGAGCGCTGTTGACAATGATCATCAGTTGTAACGTTTCTGGAACTTCTCTGCGCGCATCCACTGCTTGAGACTCAACACCATCCCCAGAGATAACTGCGGTCGACATATCGAATGAGAGATAAAAAGATTCGGGCGTAATAAGATTACGAACAGCACGTCTCCATCACCGTAGCGCACGCCCTAGCAATCGACCGAAACAATCAAGAATAATCTTCCACATAATTCGCCCCCTCACGAGAATACCGACGAAAGGATGATGGGTCGGTTACTCTCGTGCCGCCATACAGACAGCGCAGTACCAAGACTCCTGGAAGCCGTCATAGTCGGTACAGCTCATATGAAACCATCTGTCACATCCATCACAACAGACAAGAGTACCGCTATGCGTCTCTCGACAGCTGGGGCAAATGTTATTCTCATCACTTTTCAGGGCCGCTCCAACAGTAGGAATCTCCACGTTGTTACCATCACCACCCTCGCCCTCGAATCTGCGGATACGAGAACTGTGAACCATCCACGACCGCTGCGGAGAGGAGGTAGGGGTAGTACCCTTCGGAGCGACACCTATATCATAGCATTGAGTACCAATTTTTTTCAAGACATAATAAGGACCAGTGGCCTTAGGGGCCAACTTCATCCCCGGTACGTTACCGGGTCGATAGAGAATTACTTTATCACCAATAGCTAAAGGACGGTTATCAACAGCTTTCTTAGCGACCTTGGCCTGGAACTTGTTAGACAAGTCCTCTCTAGCTTGTAACCACTCCTCAGCAAAAACCTGTAACAGAGCGTCGCGATAGCTACTGCGAGCTCTGGCTTCCGCCACCGCAGCGGATGGGATCCCTCGGAAACTCCCTGGAACCGAGGACAACGGAAAAAGTTGGGCAGAAAGGGCCCCCACAGCAGGACACTGGGATTTCCACCCGTAGATTCGCTCATGAGCACCACTCACCGAGTTGACCCGGGCTTCCGCAATGGCCATAAGCCACTTCCAGCTGGCCTCCGGATTGGCACACAAGCAGGAGCGCAAGGTCTCCGACACTTCCCGGTGCTTCCTCTCCCAAAAGCCACCACATTGCGGAGTATACGAGGGAGTCGTTCTCAGACGGCAATCGATCATCATAGCAAAGCTTACCAATGGGGCCGCCTCGACAAAGTTTTTCGCATTGTCGCACCAAATCTCCTTAGGCCACTTACCAATGCGCCAGAAGAATAACTCGAGCTGATCGACCAAAGTCTTGCTACGGGCATCCTTCATCAGGAAGAAACTGGCATGGCCCGTGAGCCTGTCGACCACGCTCAACACCTGCCTGGTTCGGGGTGCGCCCCCTTGGCTCTCCGCCTCGCCGTTCACCTTACGTAAGGGACCGTAAATGTCGATCCCTATGCAGTCATAAGGAGCGATTGGTATTTTGCTCGCCCCAAACGCCACTTGAGCCCTGGTTCCTCGGTCCCGTGTAAGGGCACAACTCAAACAGCCACGAAGGGCTTTCCGCGCAACCTTCCTCACTCCCGGAGACCAGGCCACCGTATACAGGGATGCAAGAGTGGCCGTTAGGCCAGCATGCCCACCTTCTTGATGTATGGCGATAACGACTTCTGGTACCAGCGCCTGGGGAAGCACCAACTGCAAACGAGGCCCATCATCTATGGGGCAGTTAGGCCGTACGCGATACAACAATCCCTGGCGCTTCTCGAAACTGTACGATAATCCAGGGATAATACACCGGCCATCCGACTGACCGTCCGAAGAGGTACGGGTACAGAAAGGATCCTTATCCTGCTCGGTTTTCAGAAAGTGTCCGAACAACTCAGCGTTATCCAACGGGTCCTCCACGCCCTTCAGAGCAAAGAAACACGCACGTAGTCTCCGCCACCTCTGAACGGAGGCTATAGAATGGATACCACCGGCCTCATCAGCCAGCCATGAGTGAGCTTCCACCGCGGCGCAACCCGCTAATATGACCGCTTCTCGCTTCTCCAACACCGGGATATATTTCGAAGTGAGGGATACCCTTGACAGCGCATCGGCGATATCATTACTAACCCCAGGCAGATGAGCAAAGGTTACGGTCACCGATGGTGTGCCGCACTTCAGGGCATGGGTAGCTTCCGCCACCACCCCACGTAAACGCAGGATGGCTCGTCGTTCCATGCTCTTGCATGCAGGGACGTTCCAGGGATCGGCTTGGCGCACTGCCACGCGGCTGTCGCCACGAATCTCAACTCTTTTTAGATCGGAGAAGAGTGGAATCTCCTCATCCAGGCGCCTTAGACAAGCCGCTATGACGAATAGCTCCCGACGATTACAATGCCATGACCCCAATGCCATCGACTTGCTCTGCACTCTGGCCTCAGCGCGTACCACTCGGCCCTCCGGGTCACGCCACACAAAGCCATACCCTCCAGCCGACGCGTCTACATCCGCGATAAGATGTTCCAGGCCTTTGAACAACCGCAGGTCGGAGTCTTCGACTCTCTTCGCCTCCACCCAGTATCGCTGAGCCAGGCCGAGATGGACGGACGCTGGCTTTTTCCAGGATCCCTCCGAATCTACCGAGTCCCAGGCCGCCTCCACGCTGGCCAGAACCCTGGCACAATCCGCATGAGCTCGAGCCAGACTTTCATTCACCCCACCAGAAATCTCGACATATCTGCCTGCCAACTTGAATACCTGGCGCTTCGTCAGGCGGTTTATGTCGATCGACAAGTTCTCTTCAACGGCATTCGGACGCACCAGACTCAGAATCCCACGATCTCC